CCCCCGCCCCTACAGCGCCCAGTGCTGCCCCTGCCCCCCGAAAAGTAGCTCCCCAGCCCCCCAAGAGGACAACCCCTGTGTCGGCCGGGGGTGGGCAGGAAGACTTCATGTCAGAGCTGATGAAGGCCATGCAGAAGAAGAGCAACAAGTGAGGACCCCCGGACCTTGTGAGACCACAGGAAGAGGAGCCCCCTCTTCTGCACTCCCAGCTCACCGTGCAGGACCTCCAGTCCTGCAGGAGTGTGGGCCGGGAGCTCACCTCTGCTGTGTCCTGAACTGTACAGAGGACGTGCAAATCAAGCATGCTTTCTTCTGCTTTCTGCAGTGGGATTTCTACGTTCATGTTCCTCGGACCGCAGTCACGTTTGAAAAAAGACAAGCGTGAAGCTACGTAGTATATCTGAGTCAAAATTAAACTAGTTTGCTGGTCGAATTGAGGATCTTGGCTGTCACGTCATAATTCCAGGGGTAAATTTGTTGTTTTAGGAAAAATATGTTGCATATGTTTTATAGAACGGGTGATAAAGCAATTGAATCCTTCTAAAGGAAAACACGCCATTGTGCTGGTTATTGTAATATGAAAGAATTTATACTGCTGGGAGCTGAACAGTAAGTAACCGCATGATATCTGCTTAAAACACCAAAATGTGTTCAATTTGGTGGAAGCCAAAGATTTAAAGTTATTTATTTTCTCCTGTGTATGTTCACAAACATTTCCATAGTTAAGAGATTTCAGGAACTGTAAAATATATTCACTGAGACATGTTAATATTTTGTTAGCAGTTTAATGTAAAGTATGGATTACTCCTAATCCATAAGAGTATTGATAGTACTCCTACGGTATAACTACTACAGTATGTGTGCCCATTCTGTCTGCACCGGCGCAGCAAAGGAGATCACATTCAAATATTTTCTGTAGACAATGTAAACAGAATTTTCTTTCTTTTGTTTAAAGTGAATAAATTCATTTCATCTTAAATTAGACTTATGCCTTTATTAAAGGAACACAAATCAAGCTTAACCACCGGTATATTATGGTATAACTTTCTACACATTTTATGCACTCGCCATGTCTACTGCATAAAAATACTTGTATCACAATTTAATACCGGCGGTACAAAATACGTTGCCTCAATCCGTAGAAGAAGTGAAACAGAAAATACAACCTCTATCCACTCTCTCCATTTCATAAATGTATTCAGCGTTTTAGATTTCTGTTAGTGATCTACTATGGTATGACTAGAACATGCAGCAGGAGAAGTACACAGCAAGCACTGGCGGAGACAGACTCGCAAGCTGCAGTATGACGTGTACTCTAATGGCAGTTTTAACAATGCTACAGAATGTCTAAGAACGCTGTGTCATTGAGTGAAGCATGACTTTGTGCACCAATAGAAAAGAAGCTTTCCTTAGCTAAGAAAAAGAGAATACAAAGGGCAACTGCATATTCCCTTTCGTTTTACACAAAGGTTTAAGCAAACAAGTGATATTTCTTTACCACACACTTCTGTGCGATGATCCAAATCCACATCGCTCTTCAGAGTGCATTCGATAGCACCGAAAACAAGGGATAAAAGTAACAGTGTGACAATTAACCAACTCAAAGCACAACTGGCGTACTGTACCTGAGCTACCGTGCAGCAGTTGTGGACTACCCATTAAAATCTTCACATTTGTTTTTGGTTTCCCACATGGTCCTCTTCTTATTTTTCTGCTAAATACACGACATTCTCTTTTCCGCGTCAACAAAAGAAAAAAGTGCAGATAAAGCACAGCACAGTGAGTCAAGCCAGGAGTCAGTTGAATCACAATATTTCAATCTTGAGTGAAAAGATGGATCTTTAACGGGTAGGTTTGGATACGAGCAACGCGTTTGACAGATATTTCTTCGGCAGAATCTCAGCCTAGAAATAAGCATGAAATCAAGGTATTATGGTAGTCTAATCTTGATTAAATACATTTCGGCATCATCCGAACACAAGGAGGAGAGACAGAAGGAGCCTGAAAAGAGCTCAGGGTGTAGTGTTTCTACCAGGTGTGAGCCCCGTTTTAGCCAGACTTTGTCAGCTCAGGGCGCAGGGCCACACTGCCTGGGGGGAGGCACGACCAGCTTCTGCCGCCGCCTGTGTGTGCGGCAGCGACTGCGAGCTCCACGACTCGGAACGGCGGAAACCGGCTCAACACTTCTAACATCACAACCATAGGAGAGACAAGTAATGTACCTGATTTTACACAATGACCACATAAAATGCTATAAACATCCACACAGAAACGCTTTCAAGAGGTGATTACTATGTAATCAATACTGCATTCCTCGTCTGATTGCCTTTGCAATTCGGGCATTTGACTGGTAAATTCTACCTTTATTTAAAGTGCAATATGATGCCACCTGGTGGCCAATAAGTAATATGCAACAAATCTATATACGTAGAAGGCTTTGTTAAAGCAGCATTAAAGATTATCTAGCACTGGGCTTTACCACCTTATAACATTAACAATAACAATTTGCATTTATGTAGTGCGCTCTGAGTGGAGTGTCCAGAAAAGCGCTATATGAGCGTATGGGATTAATGATGATGATGATTATTATTCACCAGCAGCTCCCAACACAACAGATGACACAGAGAAGTGATCAATTATTTCACCAGTAGAATTAAGAGGGGGCTGATGGGCAGACTATACAAGTCCTGAGTGGAGTTTAGCCAGGAGACCAGGGTTAACGATTAGCCTACTGTAACCTCCATTCATCCATTTTCTAACCACTTCTTCAAATTCAGGGTCTCGGGAAAGCCGGAGCTTATCCCAGAGAGCAACGGATGTAAGGCCAGGCACACCCTGGACAGGACAGCAGCCCACTGCAGGGAAACACAGGCACAAACACTCACACCAGGGACAATTTTCTCAGAAGCCAATTAACCTACTACTATGTCAGAACATAGAAACTCCATGCAGAGAGCATCCCAGGTCTGGAATCGAACCCAGGACCTCTTCTCTGGGAGCCAGCAATGCTAACCACTGCTTCACCTTGCTGCCCTCCTCCTCCTTCAAAACTGGTCCAGGGATTCTGACTGACGCAGCAGTCAAGACCTCATTAACGTCCCCCCCCCAGAATCACTCCCTTTCGATTTTGTCAGTCGTTTTTCAGCACCATAATGATGTGCAGACAACATCTTAATTGTCAGAAATAATAAGAAAGGTTACAAACAAGAGGGCATTTGCCCCTCTAGCCCATTTGGTAGATAGTAGTTCATTAGTGTGATCTCATCCAGCTGTTTAATGAAAGAAACCAGAGTTTCGGCTTCCATAATATGACTGGGTAGCTTGTCCCATTCGCCCACAGACCTTTGTGTGAAGAAGTGTCTCCCGTCCACAGATTTTAATGCTCTGTCATGTGCAGTAGAATTCTCTTGTGACCTTGTTTCATACCGTTCACAGGGTTGGTGTCTTTAGGGATTCAGAATGCTTGTGTCAGTTTCCCTTGTCCCCCCTCTGCTCACAAATGAAAGGGTTCATCTCTTTTCAGCCTGTCGGTGTAGCACATTCCTTCGAGCCCGGGAATGTCTGCTTGCTCGTCACTAGACAGATTCCAGCGCAAGAAAAGCTTTAATTTACCTTCCATGCTTTTAGCCATATATGTGAATGTGTTTGTGGTTCATGTTTTTGCTAAGTTATAGTCTGCATTTATTTCCATCTGCCAAGTTCTTTTTTCCATTCTTGGAAAAACACCAAGAATGGTGTTAATGGTACATATGTAAACTGCTAATACTTTGATTCTTATCTTGGGTTTAATTTAAATTTTAATATCCAAAAAGGCAGAAAGCCAGAAACAGAGCTGTTGCTCATTATTACAAGAATGAGGGGAATAAAAGGGTGGACAGGTGTGTTTTGGCTGTGAGCTGACTTGCCATGTTAATTACAAATGCAGATGAAGTATTAGGTCAGTGTTCTGTAAAATGTGGACGACACTGTCAGTGACTGTCAGTGACTGCGGATTTCGATGGGACTGTCAGAGCTTGAAATTCCGTGTGTGTTCATGGCACATTTCGAGTTTAGCCTTGGTCAGGGCAGCAACGTCTGTTGCTGTGGCAACACATATGACCGGGCCACCTCCAGCAGGCCTCCCTCTGCTGGTCACAGGAGCCCAGTCAATATGTAGGCAGGAAAGCAACACGAACTCACTGAAAACCGCAGGTATTCCACACAACTAATAATGAAGCTGAATCATGCAGATACTGCAGTAATGCTAGAGGCCTCAATAAGAGAAGAATAAGCTTCCTGCTGTCTTTTCAATTACTGAAAGAGAGAAAACATTTTTTTTTTAAATGGCTGATAACACTAATTACAAATGAATACTGTCATGGGTTTGATTTACTTACAGGTATTAATTAATAAATTGATTTTTTTGTGAAGGCAGATGTGCAGATCCAGAAGGTGCCTAGCTGACTTTCAATCAACTGCCACAGCACCAGTGAAGGACAGCCAGCCTTTAATCCTTCTCCATTCTTAAGTGAACCTCCTGTGGGTAACATGTGCTAGGAGGTAGACTGGTGGTTCGGGCTGAATATCATGAATGGCAAAAACAAGCCAATTTTTAAATGGGGTAGGGGTGTACCCCTGAATCAACCATGAATGTAACGGCCTGCCACTTTCCCTTTTGTAACTTAACGGCACAGCAAGAAAATGTCAGCTGAAACCCGTGTGACTGTTACTTTAAAACTGAAGGAACGCCTAAGGACTTTACAGGCCTAGATAGATTACAAGGCTTACAGGGCTATATAAATCAGTCACTGTGCAACAGAGGCAGCGCCTGTTGCAAAACCAGCAGAGTATTGTACAGAAAGTCAGTCATTATATCCCTGAAAAGAAACAGCCCTCATCAGAAACATCTTGTCTAGGTCATGGTTGTAATATAATAATAATA